GACAAGGCGGCCGCTGCCCCGCGCAGGCTGGGGCAAGGTAAGGCCGCGGCAACGGCAGCGGCGCCAACGGGCGCCTCGCGCGCCCCCGGGGCTGGTTTTGTTGTAAGGACGGGGCTTGTGGGGTCAACTTCGCCCTCCTCCTCATCGGCAGCACCCCCGGTGCATCAGGGACAGCTCCGGTACCCGGGACCTCTCTGCACGTCCCCTCCTTTGTCTCATCTCCCTCCCTGTCTTCCTTCTCCCACCGCCCCTTCCCTATGGATTTATGTAACGCGACTAAAACAAAACCACGTTATTCCTTCCAGCCCGGTTGCCTTTCAAGCGCTTGAATCCTGTCCCGAAGGAAAAATACGAGGCAGATTCGGAAGTGAAAAAAATCAAGAGCTCGCCGGGCGGTTTTGGTGCCACCAAGGCTTCCTCCCTGGACACGGCGCAGGCGGCGCTGGACAACGTGGAGAACGACTGCCAGCTGGATGCGGATGCCGATTTCACCCCAAAACTCGTTAACGGGAAGGGTCCGTTAGATCATTTTATACAAAAAAACACAAAACACAACACAAATGAACCTGTAATCGTTATTGATCTGACAAAGGACTCTAGCCATAGACTAAGTGACGATGCGGACTGTGTTAATTTAGCCTCGGAAGCATCTTCGTCCATAGGAATAACTAATGGCACGCTAGAAAAAGATAGGAAGCAGTCGAGTTGTGTGAATTCCCCTCAGAATAGGCAAATGGATGATTTGATGGAGGCTGATGCACCATGTGAAGCCGTAGCAAATAAACGGGAAGAACTGGTAGATGAAATCCAGGCTTGCTCTGGCTTGACGCAGTGTAACAGCTCGGAAAACACGAAGAGAAATCAGGGTGAACTGAAGGATGTCATTTTCAAGGGGAAGATGCCTGTAGTGGTTTTGGAGGATATTATGACTGCAAAATCTCCCCAAGTTGCTTCTGTGGATGGAAGCGTCACATCAGAAAACGAGACTGTGGAATCATCCCATGAAGGAGACTCTGTACTTACTAACTCCTCCTTAAGTTCTCCCTCTGTGAGCTCCCCCGAGACCCAGCCTGCCGCAGAAAAAAGGAGAAATTCTAGTCCTTTAGCTGTCTCAACACCTGTTAGGAAGGTTGGTCTCTTCTCTTGGGTTTTTAAGTGTTATTTTGTTGTAGGTGCTATGGTTCCCTGCGCTTCTAGGCAAAAGGATAACTGGGATATGCACAAAGCTTAGTCTGGAAAGCGCTGCCGAGCTATTCGTGTTGTAACTGAGCTATGAAGCTTTTGAATCCTTCCTTAAACCCTTTAGCTAGAGGATCTAAATCTTGCTGGTGCATCCAGATGGGAACTTCAGGCTCTGTGAACAGAGAAGGGAGTCCTTATGTGGTTCTCCAAGCTGGGCTGCCAAACTCGGGGCATCTTGTGAGGGGGGACACCACTTAACAGGGCAAAGTCAAGGTGGGTTCAGTGGCCCCCGCAGGCAGCAGCGCCACGACGAGCTCCTCTAACCTGATCTGCTGCACGAGCTGCTCCTTTGGGAGCCGAATTCATTCCATTTAGCACCTTGGCCCTGTGGTTTCGGTGACTTTCGGCGCTGCGTCGCAAGGGGAACTTTTCAAGAGGGCATTTTCTGCGCAGATGGCCAAAACAATCGCGTGCCTTCAACGGCTGGGAAGTGAATAGGCTTTTCCAGAGTGTATCCGCTGGGATGTGAAGTGGGAGTTGCTCTTGCAGCAAGCACAATAGCCCGGTCCTTAAAGAAGACATAGAGCAGTCCTGGTGAACATGCTTGGACGCTGTAGCCAAGTTGGGCCTAAACTTACCCAGACTTTGCATTTGTTCTGTTCTAACTACGTTTTTAAAGGGAAAATCAGGAGGTAGATGTTGCCCCATGGGAGTCTGGAAAAGAAACATGGGATTTAAAGGAGGGCGAAGGGATGGAGTGGAGGGAATCAGGAAAGTGAACGTGCAGAGCAGCTCCTGGTGCTGCAGACACAAATGTCTGCTGCTGTTTGGAGCATTTTAAGAAAGCTTTTCCTGAGCTGCTCTGCAGGGATTTAACAAGAGACTGTAGCACATGTGATGAGGGGGAAAACCCTACTGGTCTGCAGGACATAGCAGTTAATTAGCTGGGATTTCACGGCGTGATGGGGCTTGCTCTTCTGCTGAGTGAATTTTCTCAAAACAACCAGTTTTAGGCTGTTAAATTTGCAGCCTTGCTCCTGTGAAAGACAGTTGAACTCGAGTGTGAACCGCATCCAGTGCAGTAGAACAAAAAGTGCTTGACTTGCTATGATATATATGGTAATCACATATATATATATACATAATAAGTATATCACTTTGCTATGATAATGCAAACAAGTTAATGGCTTCACATTGCTTGAAAGAAGGTAGAAAACCTCCTGTTGTATTTCTTGCAGTGAGAAATTTGCACTGTTCAGTTATTCGTACTTGTAAGCTTGTTTTCCTAGGTGGAAGCAGCTTGGATTCCCTTGCATCAGGAAACACAGAATCTGCAGATGCAGCTTTTCACTGTATAAACTGACTTGTCTGAGTGTAGAAAATAAAACATTTTATAGGGGTTAGTTTTTTTTAATCTCAGGGGTAAACATGTCTCTCTCCTGCCATTCTCAGTGTGAGGTGGGGAGAAAGCCATAATACGCTTAAAGAAAAAAATATTGGCAAACTAAATATTTGATTAAGTGATTCTTTTTGCTGTTGTTTTGGTTTTGACTGTGTAAACATAAAATATTTTGGGTAAATGTCAGCTTTAAGGGAAATTAAAGTGTGATTCATTGGGAATTTAGGGCTGGTATGCTTGTACTAGTGGAAGGTTATGGTGATGAGAGGAAGCCATGGGTAATGTTCCTTGTATTTGAGGGATGAGATCTAAATATTGTAGCACAAGTAAGTGATAGGAGGCAAAAAAGTTTAATACTGGGGAAATGACTTTGCTCTAATGTCCTCTGCAGTGCTCTAGTGATTTGTTTTTATGCACATAATATTGCAGTGCAAATGATGCCTTAGAATTGAGTAGACAAGGGGGATTTGTTTATGCAAAATTGAGTAATATGAGAACTTAATGTAAACTGAAACATTTAGATGTATTCAGGTTTAAATGTAAATCAGTGAGACTAGATACGCTTGAGCTCTATCCTTATACCCTATACTGTAGGAATGCTCATGTTACTGAATATATGAATCTAAAAGAATAATGTTAATGTAATTCAGACCAAGTTTGCTATTCTCTTAGTTGCTAAGTTCTAGCATCTTCTGGAAGGGGAACGATGCGGCTCAATAAAACTGCATTTTCTAATTTCAGGTATCTCAGAAATGCCACAAAAGCTCTGCAGAGAAGGAGAAGCTGAGATTGCAAAGAGTAAGGCACTTTCACTGACATAGAAAGTTAACCTGCTGTGCTTTTGCCTTGGATAGTGAGCAAAGCCCTTGGCGTTTCCTTTTCGTCCCCTTCTAACATCTTTTCCTGGCTTTCCTTGCTGATTCCCGGACGGATCTCAGTGCAGGTCAAGTGCTCAGTTTGCTCCCCAGCTCCTCAATGCCTGGTAACGAAGTGTGGGTGGTTTGCCCTGCATTTCCAGGGATTTGGGAAGTACTAAGGGCCTATAAACGTTACTGACTGTTCCTCAAAGTGCTCCTGAGGATTTTGCATCAAACCTTTCCCGACAGAGCGGGTGCAGCCTCTCAGATGGACAAATATAAGCAAAATCTGCAAGCCCCTCCTGTTTAGGGCTGGTTTCTGCTTCAACTTTCTGCTTGTAGTTACAAAACATAGTAATAAGCTCAGCAAATGGGGAGGAACTGCTGGAAGTTGGACTGGGAAACATTTAAGCTACAGAGTTGCTGGTCAGCAAAGTCTGATCCGTAACAAAGCAGCAGTGTTTAAATTTTGCCTGTGTTTAGTGAGGAAATGCTAAATGAAAAGCAGATTGATGGATTGTGCAGAGTTCTTGAGCAGTTTGTGCTGTAGGAATAGGTTTTATGTGCTGAGGAACCGGCTGGTATTTTAACAGCAGTTTGATAGGCCTGTGCTTATGAATTCCCCTTACGTTTCTGTAGCAACTAGTTTATAAAGTTAGTAGAGGGTTGCTGGGTTTCTGGACAGGCTGTAGATTCTAGAGATGCTCCTTTTCTTACAGCACTATACAGAATTCCAGTCTGCTGTGGTCTTCCATTCCCCGCGCATATTAGAAAGAGCAGCAATGAGGGAGAGATGGGAATGAAAGCCATATTCTGTTAAAAATTAATAGACCCAATAACCCTGCTGTTAACTTCATGCCATTTCCAAACCAGCCAGTAGCTTTTCCTTGATTACCATGACTGTTCTCTGACAATATTGTCTTTCTGTCATTGGCACAATTTCAAATGTTTGTTGTTTCCTGCAGTCACTGCTCAACAAGTCTTGATGTTGCCAAGAAGTCTAAGATGCAAAATAAATAATAAGAAATTAGAAATGCACAATGAGGATATTTGTATGTCTGAGCACAGATGTATCCTAGTTTCCTGGGGAAGCTGTAATTGCCTAGGATGTAGGGGAGCTATTTTGCCTGAATTTGTCACTTTTAGCATGCATACCACATGCTCATTTATTTGTAGACCTGTAACTGAGATGTCTTGCATTATAATAATTACCTGAAATGAGCAGAAGTGACTGTTCTTCTGCTAACTTCAAGTCTTAGAAAAGAGCTGCACAGTCCAAAGGTTGGACACTTCTGTTCTTACCTTAGAGCCTGAAAAATGGTCAGAAAATGAGACTTCAACATGAACCCAAAATTCCTATTTCAGATCTGTGTAGTGATAGGCCTACATTGAGGTAAAAGCAGGAGAGTTCAGCTCAGGAGGCAGCTGATTCCAAAGCAAATGTTCTGGAAACAAAGCAAAATCACCTCAAAAAAAATCTACAAAAGAGTCAGTTGTAAGTAATCTTCAGTAATAAAGAAGTATAATAATGTAGATCAAATATAAAGCAAGTAGAACACAAAGCTTTTTTTTTAATGCCTAGAGGGCAAAAAGTGTCTTGGTTGGTTAAGAGAAAAGAAAGTTAATGTCCTCAGAGAGGGTAAGGCCCCAAAAGGTCAGTAAGAAAAAGCTAGATTAGCTAGAAACCTAGAAAGATTAGCTAGAAAACTAGAAAGCTAGATTAGCTGATGCAAGAGATGGATCCTGTGGATCACCAAGTACCTAGAAATGGAATAACTGACTCCAGTGTCTCAGCTGAAGGAGTTAGATCCTGGTTTTGTTCAGTTTGCACCAGCAGCTTTGCTTGTGCTCCAAGGACACTCGTTTAATGACTTCTTTCCTGCCTAGGACCAAGAGCGCGCGGACAAACTGCAGAAGTTACAGGCAGAAAGAGAAGAAAAGGGAAGGCTGAAAGAAGAGGCGAAAGCCGCAAAAGAGCGAGCCAAGGAGGAGGCGAAGAAGAAGAAAGAGGAAGAGAAAGAACTGAAAGAGAAAGAAAGGAGAGAAAAGAAGGAGAAAGAAGAAAAGGAAAAAGCTGAGAAGTTAAGAGTGAAGGAAGAGAAACGCAAGGAGAGGCAGGAAGCTCTAGAGTAAGTGTTGGGGCTCCTGCGGGTCACAGGGGATGAGGTGCATTGGTGTGAGCCCCTCTTCATGCTTTCCTTAGCTGCCTGTTCAGCTGATGCTGGTGAAATGGTGTGTGCCACACACTGGGGTGTTTGAAATGTGTCAGAGGCCAAGCAGCCCGGAGCTTTCCCTCCTTGCCTGCAGGCTGGGCTGAACCCGACTTCTGGCTCAAAACAGTTGGAAAGAGTTTTGTGCTTCGCTGCATTTGCCCTTCGTGGCCACTCGTGTTGTGTGTTTGCAATGTGCTGGCACAGGTGCCCTGTCTGTAAAAGAAATTGCTTGTAATTTGATAACACTATAGATACCTCCTCTTTCTACTGAGGAGAATTCAAAGGAGCCAAGCTACTACATGGCTTAAACAGATGAATGTTTGCTCTAGAAAGAGTGATGAGGGAGTCTTCTGGTCTGAACGTTTAATCAAACACGATTTCAATTAATAGATTATGTTTTTGCCTGGCATGATCAAGGCTTAGTCAAGGTCTGGCATTCCTTCACTCTAACTCTGTGCGAATAAATACTTTATCATATGCGACAACTGAAATTATCTTTATATTAAAGGGCAAAGCTTGAGGAGAAAAGAAAGAAAGAAGAGGAGAAACGGTTAAAAGAGGAGGAAAAGGTAAATGATCTCTCCCTTTTCTTTAAGCTTTTCTACTATGGTGAAAAGATGTTCACCTTGCACAGCCATCAGCAACGAGGCTCCTGTAGCTGTCGATGCAGCTCTCGGAAGTTCTTCTACCAATACTACTGTGCATGTTTCTTTATCTTTTTATGATTGGTTTTCTTTAAATTTTTATTCTGATTTATTAAACCCTTACTGCAGTTGGGTTTCCAATGCCAATGGAACAGCTCTGTCTGCTTTGTCTTGGTGGTCACGCTGGAATCTGCACAGATGTGTTACAGAAAACAGTTGTGCTTTTGTTGTTGAGTTACAGGAGCTGATGAATCTCAACTTTGCTCCATACCTCATTAGATTTGAGATTGGGTCATGCATGAGCTTGTCTGGAATTTTTAGATCTCATCTTTACATTGATAATTTGTATTTTCATTCTGATTTCAGCGTATTAATGCACAGAAAGCAGAGATTACTAGATTCTTCCAGAAACCAAAGACTCCACAAGCCCCCAAGGTGAGGTATTGCTGTTTGGTGTTTCTGATTTCATTCTGACCAGTTGTTTAAAGCTTTTAAGGTGAACAAATCATTAGTACTTCTTAATTTTGAAAGTGTAAAGGGCTTTAAAATAATAATAATAGCCAGAGTATATAAAGAACTCTGTAGTTGCTTTAATAAAAATCTTAATTTTGTCTTGTGCAACGTTGTCTGTAAAGACCTAAATTCCCTCAAGATCATCTGCAGGAGACTTGGGCAGGAATTGTTGTTTTTGTTTCTATAGTAGCGCTTGATATTTAATCTTGAATGGGTTGATGCTGCAGCTTGCCAGGTGTTTGGACCCTAATGATCCTCATTTACCATTTCAGATTCTTGCTGGCTCTTGCGGAAAGTTTGCTCCTTTTGAAATTAAGGAGAACATGGTTTTAGCTCCCCTCTGTCGCATTGCCCTTGATCCAGACCTCTTGGAACAGCTGGACCAGCTCCTGCGTGCTCAGAATAGTGAAGTTTCTTTCTTGAGGGATCTGAAGTGTCGTAAACCACGAAAAACTGGACCTACTTTTGTCAGTAACAGCACCGACGAAGCCAACAGGTCAGTCTGCTGCCTTTTGGGTGTTCTTCTTTTTCTTATGCTGAGCTTTTACAATGAACTTCTTTTGTGCTGAACTGCTAGGTGGGTTTGAAGGTAGTTTTAGGTGAAAATGGGAGTCTTTGGAAAGATGCAGCTTTTCTCTGAATGGTCATTCTGTGTGATTTGTCTCCCTGGGAAGCAGTATATTATGATGCAGATTTCCTTCGCTCAGTGCACCACTTCTCAAATCCTTCTCTGCGGGGAATCTTGCACTGCTGGCAGCTCCCTTTCAGCTTGGTTACTGCTGCCCTTTGGTGATGTTTGAGTGGGGACACTTTTTAAAACTGTCAGATGGCTAAAGCAGAGCTGCTGTTGGACACACTGTTGTGTTTAAGGAGCGAAGTGTCTTGTCTGGAGCTCGTGCTCTCATGAGCAGCCTGGGAGCACCTGCTCTAACAAGCTCAGGGTCTGGGGTGGTGTCATGGGGCTGAATTGAAGGAGTTCTCTGCAGGATGTTCCTTCCTGAGCAGCAGGAGAGCGTGCAGTAACTGCTGAAGACGGTCTCTGTTTTAACAGTGACGTGGTAGTAGTGGATAACTGCCAAACGGATGCTGTTCCCGAAAGGAGGAAATTCGGTCGGATGAAACTTCTGCAGTTTTGTGAGAATCACCGACCCGCCTACTGGGGCACATGGAACAAGAAAACCCCTCTGATCCGGCCTAGGAACCCGTGGTCAAAGGATGGTGTAAGCAACACAGCTGCAGGGAGTGTGGCTGTGGGGTGACTTGTTTGTTCCTCTGGCTCTTTATGCTTGTTGAGTGCGTATGTGGGTGTCCAGGTTCACGTGTTCGTTGGGATCTCTGACCCCTTGCTTATTCCTTCATGCTACGGGTAGTCTCGAAAGACTTAACTTGGCTTTTGTGTCTGAAGCTGCTGACAGAAATCACATTTTGCTGTTTCTCGCTCTAGAAACTGCTGGATTACGAAGTAGATAGTGATGAAGAATGGGAAGAGGAAGAACCTGGAGAGAGCCTCTCCCACAGTGAAGGGGTAAGGGTTTCGGACGCTAAAAAAGTCTTTTAAACCAACTTTCCTACAACATAAAATACAGCAGCCTGGGGAGCAGGTTTGTCCATCCGTAGAGCCTGAGGCGAGGCAGCTGATACTGGATACTGCCCACTACTTATTTTCTAATAAGAGTTTATTTTTAGGATGATGAAGAGGAAGGAGAGGATGAAGACGATGACGATGGCTTTTTTGTACCCCATGGGTATCTATCTGAAGATGAAGGAGTGACAGAAGTAAGTGAACTGGGACACAGCTGCTGGTGTATCACGTAATAAATGTCAGCCCATGCCTGGTGTGTTGGCAGGGAAATAGCTGGTCTCAGATCCGCATGGGTGGTTCTGGAACAAACCTCTGTAGCTCAGAGAACACAGTAAAAAGCTGGGTTTAAAACCCTTTTGTGTTTTCTGGAATGATATATCAGGTTTTTGTGCTTGCTTGTGGCTTTAGGAGTGTGATCCAGAGAATCAGAAGGTTCGTCAGAAGCTGAAAGCAAAAGAGTGGGATGAACTGATGGCCAAGGGGAAGAGGTTCCATATTCTACAGCCTGTGAAGATTGGCTGCATCTGGGAAGGTGCAGAAAGCAACAGCAGCCCAAATGCAGACATAAAGGTGCTCCAGCAGTTTGCAGCATGTATCCTGGATCTACCTGTTGTGGAGGAAGAGCAGCAGATACAGAAATGTAGCAAAAAAACAGCAAAAGATCAGCAAAGTAAGACACGAAGGGCTAAGTGGTTGTATTTCTGCAGCACTGTCATCCTACTCTGCTTCTGTGATTTGGTCTGTGTGATGGCCAAGCTTGTGCTGCGTGTGGTTAACAGGAGAAGGGAATAACACACAAGGGGGCTGTCACAGCGGGGTAAAGTTTGGAATTCAGAGGCCATTCGGGTTGGGGCAATTTGTATTAAACTTAACACAT